TGGGGTTGTAATAGCTCAATAGTGCCGAAGGTGGAAAACGGTGGAGGTATGAAGTGCGACGCGACGTCTGCGACTCCTTTCTCGGATGGATGGGTGCTGGCCCTTCCTTTGGTACCATCAGCTGGGGCCACGCCCATCTATCGAAGACGTGGACCCGACAGCTTTCTGTCATAGCGAACTACTCCTGTAACGCTACCTGTCGTCGAACTGAAGTCGCTGTTAAGCAAGATTCAGGATTGAATTATGAGTTAATTCCACTTAAATGTGAAAGTAGGGTAGGTAGTGGACCGCCAGTGCAGAAAAGAGAAAAAGAAATCGTGAAATGCTTAGGAAATACGAGCCATTTCCTCTACGGTGCGGAGAAGTTCAAAAGGCCGGCAGGGAGATGAGAGATAATGTGAGCGCGGAGAGCGCTAGAGAAGTCTAAGTAGAGAGAGCATAGCAGATCAACATTCCGACGCAGTCAAGATATCGAGCGGTGGGCGGAGCGTGTCGCAGCAGGTGGAGCGTGTCAAAGTTCTTAGAGCCTAGCGTCTAAATAACGGTTTTCGAAGTAGGGAAGTGACGCGACCCCTACACTTGCGTGCCTAGCGCTTCTAGCCACCGTAAAGGCTCATTAAGTGGGTCTGAGCCCGAACTTTGCCTTTAAGCAAACAGTTGCAGTGAATAGAATACATATATAGTATAAGTCCGGCGGGCGTGACGCGGTGGATCGCGGCCGAGTTCGTTTAGAGCGAGGCAGTGACAGCGAAACGTGGCGGCAGTCTTATCGAATCTAGGGGCGGTATTCAATCCTTCCCCCAGGGGGATATATCCCCCTACTTCTGATTCAATCCTCTGGGGGGACAAAAAAGGGTTGCGTCATAGGACCTAGCATACCTCTGTGTTTCTACCTGCCAGACAGTTAGAGCAGCGCGACCCCTCAGGGAAAAGAGTGCTTCATCAGTGGAGGTAAAGACGTACCCACTTGATTTTTCCTTAATCGTCCTGCGCCGATTGCTAGAGCCACGATCAAAGAACGGGTGAAAGCCCTAGGCTAGCCTTGGAGAGGAGAAGGATCTGCGAAAGGGCGCAGAGGCGGTTTAAAGGGCTGAGTTCAAGTAGTCCGTCGACCGGAGTTTCGACGTGCATACCCGGCGATGCACGCGGGCTGCAATGTTTTAATGAATAGGTTACTTGTCATGACCACTCTTGTCCTGTCCATTGGTATTAGAGAGCTCAGCGACGTGTATTCCTCCGAACTCGTTTTCACCGTTATTAACCATATTAATCATGTATCCAAGATAACGTTCTACATTCTAGCGCAGCGCGATCTAGTCGACAACGCCCGTCCGTATTGTTATTGGAAGAGCTGCTTCAATCACTATGTCCGCTACCTTGACGACAAGGACAAGTATTTTATACGAGACAGTGATGTAAGTGTGCCTCATTCTCCACTTCGTATAGTTCTTCGTTGCGGAAGTAGGTTTGTTTAAAGCAACAATCCAGGAACGAATTCGCGGGTAAGGACCACCTATAATGACGTTGCAGGTGAGAAGTTGGTCAATGGAGAAAGAAAAAGTAGAAAAAAACGTCGGGCAGGGGCTTAGACAGGGACTCCCCCTGCCGTTTAGGGAGACGTGTTTGGACGAGTTGTCCGAACCTGCCCGTAGTACATGCGCTCCAATTGCAACTGCTGGCAAATAGCCATGCATGCTTGCAAATACATAACTATTTGCCAGCAATCGAAATTGAAGCGCTTAAGTTGCGCTCTCATGGAATCGACCTGATACAGCGCGGCGGTCCCGCAACGACCGCTATTCGAGCAAGCGCTCTTCACAGCAGCAAGGAGGCGGGTCAACCGAGGCTCGGTTGACCCGCCCTTTTCGACGAACTTCGAGCCCTTCTCACGCATTTCAGAGGTGAGTTTTTACTTCAGTGACAGTTCCTTTCGACTTCACTTGGGCTGGGGCATGCTTCCACACCTCAGCTTTGGATTAGTTGAAACCCTCCCTGGACTGTTGCTTTAAGGAGCGATGACTAACGAAGATGGCGGTCGTTACTGATCCTGTATGATTAGTCATTAAACGGGCACTCGCTCGCGAGTGCAATCGCCGTTGCGATCGCGAAGGTCTGACACCTGCTTTGGATCGCGTTTTGGCAGGATATGATTCTATGCATCGCATCGTGCTTGTCGGGCTTCTATGTCCCTTGTTTTCGCAGCGAGTTGAGTGGGTTGGTTATTTGGTGTAGCTCCCGGATAATCAGAATAACGAAACATTTTGCGATAGTGGCGTAAAGAAAGAAGAATAATTCGTTGGAGATCGACACCTCGGACACCGCGTGAATAGTATCAGAGGCAAACGGGAATTGCTATTTTGATAGTAGTGTGTGAGACGATCAGATGGGTGGGTGGTAAGTCGTTTAGACATAAGTAAATAGTGCTTTAAATGAAGGATTTCAACAGTAGTATTAGCGCCAGCGCCATCGAGTTTAGGTTCTGCTGTACGGATAACAAGCGAGACTCTCGTAGTAAAGCAGCTCATCAAAAATCAATAGTGGAAGGTGCCAGTGTGCAGGTGTGTAAGAAAAAAATGAGAAACGAGCTCAGAGCCGAGAGTGGAACCCTTTGCCCGTTGATTTCCGCATTTGTGCGACGCTCATCGGTGCTGCCCTCTTCAACGCTAGCGTTCTCTTTGCTAAACAGCCAGAATTAGACGGCGTAGGGTACTTTATCGACGGGCGTGCAGAAGCGCAAGCGGCACGGCTACAGCCCTGCAAAACGGCTCAGGTATATTTTTAACCGCTGAATACCATCGTTCGGCACCACAAGGGGCCGCCCGCCTGTTGACGAGGCGTATTCCCCTTTCCTTGGCCTCCGACTTTATTGGTGGAATCCTATGTTGAAATTGATACGTTTAAGACTGCGACATCTGGATACCCAACGAGCGTCTGTATGCGAAACTGTACCGTTTTGACGTTAACGGTATAACTAAGTATATGCTCGAGAAATCACCCTTACTAGTGAGTCTAACCTTTTGTTTTCTGTGAGTCTTTTGAAACTTTTTTAAAATCAATTTTAGCGGTTGCTCGGTTCTGATCAATGACGAGCAGCTAGAAAACAAAAAGTGGTTGTCATCAGATGATGTCGTATGTAGCGGTTAGTTTCTTTGAATTTCGGCATTGAATGTCTGGACGACTTTATTTCCATTTACAACGGGCTTAGTTTTGTCATTCAAGACGTCTTGTTCATATCTTCTGTAGGCGGTGTTTTAATCAAACACATGTTTTGTTTACGTCTGTGATGTTCATGGAATTACCTAACATCCATCATTTCGGAGTTTATCTATCATTCTATTCTATATTTTATCTATCACTTTTGCAGGACATCGCTGGCTGCACTGCCTGTTTCCACAATATTCTACAACCAGAGAGAGCGTAGCAGGCGCTTTAGTGCTTCGAGGCAGAAGTTTTGTGCATCTTTTGTTTAGATTCAGCACTTCCCTCTCACCGCGATGTTGAATAATTCAGCTATGTGCCAGAATTTAACAAACAAAACAATCAGCTAATAACGCTTTCGATGTGGTTTGTGCTTAACTTGATACAATCTGAAGCGACCAAACAAAATTCATTAGGATCTACAGCTTACAAAATCGAAGTCCGATAACAGACGCTATTTAAACGACACTCAAGCTGGTGTCAGAGTCCGCGATCCGTCATAGGTTTCACGCGATTCGCACGATTCGCGCGATGGGTCACAGCAATCACAAATGTCCGACCAATACTGCAAGGTGCTCTCCAACCTCGCCGCCATATCTGTTGCAGTGTTGCAAATGGGGCACTTGCGATTATGCGATCGACCGTACGAGCGAACCTGCGGCGGGTCGCGACAACTATCAGCTTAGTGCTTGAATCGCGCGAAACCTGCGGCGGGTCGCGGACACCAGCCTTAGGTGGCTGGAAAGAATATGGATGGGCCTTCGCTCTATGGAAATGTTTAAAAAATAGGAGTAAAAATCATTAGTGGTCCAGTTCCCCTCGTGGCAACAATTTACACTTTTCGGATTCCCATTTGTACGTCTGAACTTATTTGCCTGCCCACTAAAGCCGCTCAGGGGCATCAGAAACTTTTCTTTGCTCCATGCAAGTGCCTTATGCGCCCTTCTAAGAGATTGTTTTGCAACTGGAAAGTACACGCTCTAAGTCATAGTTGACTCCTTGGTAAGTGATTTCAGCTCACAGCATTTTCTATGCAGGCTGTGGGTTTTATGAACCTCCTTTCTTAGATTCACACTTGGAGCTTTGTGTCCTCATATTCAGGAGCAATAGTTGACAAAAATAATCTGACTAAAATGTGTGTGTGTGAATATGTTCCCTAGAACTGCTTGCTTGATTCCGAGATTCTAAGGTTATTGATTGATGTTTAAAGTTCCAAGGTTTGTGGCGCTTTTGTGACTGCTTGGAAAAAGCTGTTTAACGCGAATAGGCGAGATTTAGCTAACTAAAAGCTGCCCACTATCGTTGAGTTGAAGGAGGCACGACAGTTGTGGCAACACAGTCATCTGTTTTCCATCTCCTATTATGATATGAGGAGACAGTTTTATTCTACCCTTGAGTGAGATTCTGCTTTGCGTTGAGCCCAACACGAATGAGCCGAGTTGGTGGAATGTTTGGAGAAAGCTGATCTATCTTAGCCTCCCTTTGCTTGGTTGTTAAGATTGCGGTCCCATGCAGTCCCATACATGGTAATATTTGTTGTTATTAATTTTTCCCCTCAATGAGAAAGACCTATTTCCACTGGATGTTCTATACTAGATCGCTCATAATGATCGACTCTAGTTTCTGTTACATTCAGGTCCTTCTCAGCCAAACGACGTCCAACCTTCCCAGTCGAGCAGTGGAGCCGATGATTCCCATGGAGTGAATCCACGACTTTCCCAAAGAACAAGCCCAGGTTTAGTGAAATCCTGCACCTATGATTTCTTTTTTTGCTGATTTCGTTGCAGGAGGCAAACTTCGACATGAATTTGTTAATGCGAAGAACTGAGAGAGTGCAGGTGCGTTTTCAAATTATTGCATGTGCATATAGATTTGTATTCTCTTTTTTGGACCAGCTTGGCCTTATCATTGACTGTGCAATACGTGCATGCGATACCGCTCACGTAACACGAATACTGAGAAACGGAGTAATTATAAGGTGTGCCGTTTACGTGTCACATATCAGGCAGACGTACTGACCAGGGTCAATCGCGTCGGTAATCACCAACGAGGGCGGGGGGTCGTGTGTTTGAATCGTACTCATGAAAGGGAAGGCGTGTTCGGTTCTTTGTGATGGTAATTTTGATATAGGGTCGTATTTGAAGTTTTGGCTGTTTGTCTATGAGATGGATGGAAAGGTGCTTCACCCGCTTGGCGGTGACTCGGAGTGAAAAAGACTTCATTAGCGTGTGAGTCGATTGTCTTGAATTCAATTCACCTATAAGAACATATTGTGGCAGTGGAGGCTGGAGATGGTCGCAGAGGTCGTTTGGGGGACTCCCCAGGCTGATGGTGGCGGAGATCACATCGAGAAGGTCCTGGGAGGAGAGAGCCGTGAAATTTCTGAAAACTTCGCCATTGTCACGGTTCACCCTAGCGCCGGCTGATTGATTCCACATAAATTTTCACCTCTGAAGTCTGAAATTAGGTTACGGATAAGAGCCTTAAGTTCCATTCAAAGATAAAGAAGCTCTGCCTAAGACTGGAGGCAATAAAAGATGCCTAAAGCGTTCGTCAACGTAACGACTTGCATTTAAATGAACCTAACTTTGGAAACTTCAGGAAAAGCTCGAAACCATAGTGCAGCTGGAACGGCTATCACGGACACCGTTTGAAGTAACCAGAGAGCACTTCACTTGCAGTATATGTTATGAAATCTTTAATAATGCGGCAAAGTGAGTGGGAATTACGAGACATCACACTTCTGTTTTTGGTATGTAGCAGTAAGGTTCAACACACTTCGGAATCAATCTGGTAATGTCAGATTGATTTCGAGGTTGCCTACTATCGGCTTGAGTTGATCATATGTTCAGTTAACACCCGGAATTCAGACTGCGGGGTTGATTGTAAACTGACAAAACCTGCCTTTATTGGAACGAAAAATGACTTTTCTCATTTGTGTCGCTTTAAAGAAACGCTAGTCATTTCAGCGTGAATCCCTGCAACCATGTATTCTGCCGCAGTTGCATCTTAACATGGGTAGCTGCACACCCACTCGTGCCTACTTGTCCAGAGGTAGTTTCCAAATGTTTTTTCTTCGATTAGCTTAGAAAGGCGCTTAGTTCCGGTTCCTGGACAAAATGCAGAGTAAATCGTTGCCCGAATCAGGGCCCACACTGTCAGTATAGCTTATATTGTTTTGCAATCTTTTCGTAGAAACCTGGCGATTTCCTATTTACCGCTGCTGGATGTAAAGCTTTATCTAGAAAGTTCCCCCTGTAAGCTACATAGTGGGCTCTGATTCGAAGTGATTTTTCCGATAAGTGCATTTTCCGCAGGTATGTACGAAAAGTTTGTATTGTTTTCTCATAAGTTTCGCTTTTTGCATTGAGGCGACTCTCATCGGTGTTTCTCCCTTTAGCGCCTCTGCTAAACAGCTAGAGTCAGACGGCGAGAGGGTGGGCCAACAGCTGTGCGAGCGGCGCAGGTATCACTCTGCTAGGCCGCTGGGGTATATTCTTCGCTGCGAAACGCTTATGGTCTCGCACCTCTGGAGGTGCGCTCGCCTCTGGAGTAAGTATACTCGATATCCTAAAGTTGGGGTAGGCGTGTCACCGGAAGTGACGTGCACTTGATAGAAGCTATGTGGATAAGCTGCTTCCAACATCGCTGGATATCAGCAAAGCATGCTGGCAACAGCTTATCCACGCAACTTCTATCAAGTGCACGTCACTTCCGGTGACACGCCTACCCCAACTTTCGGATATCGACTGTATATTCCCATTTCGACATTCGCCCTTATTGTGGATTCCGTCAAACATGTGAGTTCGGCACTTACATTCAGAAATCACTGAAAGGTTTCTAATTGTGCTGTTGATTCGAAGAATTCGATACTTGCAGCTCGTGCAACTCCCACAAATTGTAGATGGGGTCATATTAGATTTTTTTATTGAGGACGCATTCTGATGGTTCAGAGAGGTTCGTGGCAGTGGAACTTGAAAAGGATCGCTTTTGAGACTAGGGAGTTTTTTTTTCACTTTTTACCGAAAAATGCTGAAATGTGGGTGAAATCGTATACTTAGATAAATTACTCGACTTTCATGAAGATATCCAAATGAACGTGGATCCTGGTTGTGACTGAAATAAAGTCGCAGTCGGATTAAAATACAGTTTTTAGAAGGAAAGTACTGGAACAAACATCTGGCACGACCGTACTTGGCAACACTTGCATACATTAGCAACTAGCAATTAATATATTTTTACAGTGTCGCGCTCCAATCCGGGGTGTGAAAACAAGTGCGCTGATCAACTCGTTCGTTTCTAATGTTCAGCCTTGTTGGTCAGGTGAAGTCTTGGATTTTTGTTTCATAGCGGCTCTTGAGCCATGAAATGGTGTTTAATTGCAGAAAGATCTAGAATACTCGAAAGCATAAATCCTGTGGTCGGATCGCTGAGAGAGATTCTTCAAACAATGCGTGAGGTCGCTCCCCGTGTTTCTGGATGCATGTCTGGTAAGTTTTCCGAAGTTATAAATCAAAATCTTATTATTGAAAGCATGGAACACAATATCATCACAGACAGTTTCCATTCGGAGGCGCTACTAATCCTTTTTCACTCAGAATGAAAGTGAAATTGTATGCATATACAGGGTGGCTACTAAATATTGGCGCATGGATTGTTGACCATATTTTTAAAACGAGAAGCTTTTACATCTTCAGAGGTTTATCTTTATATACCTTATAACATGGCAGTACATTGCTAAAGAAAGTGCTCGAAATGGCCTCCTTCGGCAGCGATACAGGCTTCAAGTCTCTTCTCAACTGACATCACTGTGGGCCGCAAGTAGCTGACGTCAAGCTCCTTCCACGCCTCCTCCAAGGAAGCCTTCAGGGAGTCCAAACTTCGACGTTGCTCAGAAGGCATCTTCTGCTTCAAGAAGCCCCACACCGCCAAATCAATTGGTTCAAATCGGGCGACTTAGATGGCCAAACATTTTGTGCCCGGTAACTTGGAAAATGACGGTCACAATAAAAATCGCAAATATGACCCCCATCGTAAATTACCAGATGACTGAAATTCCAATGTGGAGGCGCCCTGTCTGAAGAATGCAATGACGTTCGCTGAAGGTCAAAAGAGTCCTTGGAAGAAGGGCATTACGTGAAAATTGTTTCCGGGTAGATCTGGGCGCTGGCTTTGATGTATTCATCCACAAAGACAAGCGGTGTCATGGTTTCAGAAGTAATTCCTGCCCAAACCATGACAAATTTGAAAAACGCGGTTCCTTGTGTGTACACAAGGTCGAGCAGAATGTCTGCTAGCCAGATCCAACAACTGCCTGTCGTTTTGCAAATCGTGCGCCACTTCTGGTCTGAAGATCTACTCACGTCACGCCGACGTCAGCTACTTGCGGCCCACGGTGATGTCAGTTGAAAAGAGACTTCAAGCCTGTATCGCTACCAAAGGAGGCCATCTCGAGCACTTTCTTTGGTAATGAATTTTCATGTTTTATTGTATATGAAAATAAACTTCTGAAGATATGATAGCTTCTCTTCTTGGAAATATTGAGTATAACCATAGCCCCTATATAGTTTAGTCGCCTACCTGTATAACCAATTAATTATCTATCCCAATAATAATTTAAATAAGATTGGGTCATGGTAAAGTGAACTTCATAAAGTGTGATGATGTTTGCTCGTCTGCGTTGAGAAACCTGCTAATTCTCTAATCTTTTCAGATGGTTGCGCAGGGTGATTTTTTAGTGTGGGACGTTGATGAAGTATATTGAATTCGCGTGTAAAATTTACTTATCTGTAAATACTGTCATAATCCTTCATGTACATTACCTTATTGAAATTGAGTATAGTGTAAGATATTTATAATAGTGATGTCAAAGTAATTTATAGTTGCACTATTATATTTTGTTTATATATTATAATTGTTTTATTATATATTATATTGATTCTTGATCTATTCGCGAATAATCGGTCATATGTTGTTTTGTGGTAAATTTCTTGCATATGTGTATTTCGTCGTGTTAGTGTTCTCTTCTTATTTCCTATTAAGTTTTTGTCATTTGTGTGTGATTTTAGTTAGACTCTCTCTTCCCGTGACGCGTTCTGACCTGCTATATGCCTGCGCATCGGTCCGCGGTACCCAAGCGAACCTAGCCAATGCGGGGTTCGCCTTGGGGTACCCGACAGGAGGCCCGTTGCGCGGCAAGAAGGCAGAGTCAACGGTCAAGTCAATGCGTAGTGTGCGATGTAGGATGTGCAATGTACGCTCTGTTCCAGAAAGTCGAAAGCGCATCGGGTGCAGACCGCACACCACAAGTGACGACGGCCTCCAAGTAAATCTGGTTAGCTAGTGATTCATAGTGATAGCTGATTTTGGTAAATGATAGTTGTAATTAGTGACAACTGATAGAATACAACTGCAACAGGCTAATCATTTCATTGGCAGAAAACATTTACATTTTGTGGAGGCCGTCGTCACTTGTGGTGTGTGGTCTGCACTCGACGCGCTTCTGATTTTCTGAAAAAAGAGTTCATTCTATACAACTTGACGCGCAATCAGCAGTACGCGCTGGGACTCGTCGCTGATTCTGCCTTCTTGACGATCCTCCTGTCGGGTACGTGCTTCGCTATGTGGGTTATGTATAGAACCAGAGCTGGGAAACCAAGCGTCTAACTAGAGCTGCCAAGCCATAAACAGCAGATGAATATGTGAATCATCCTTAGTTTCTGCGTGATGTAACTTGTTGTAAATTGGTGGCTGAATGGGGCGACGGACTTTTGGCTCGTCCGGGTTGGCACGCGGACGAGCTGTCAAGACCATTTTTCCAACGCGATGTTCACCCTGGTGTCATAAGAAACTGCCCTGGGTGGGGTTAGTGAGAGAAAATTTTAGATGTCATGGAAGAATGAGCTGCAGCAGTGTAGTAGATTTTCTAAACTGGTGTACCTACACCCTTTTCGAACCACTCAACTTGGCTGCTTGAATCGCAGAAAGCGGGTCGGCTTGACCCCCCCCCCAACGTGGTTAGTTATAACCCTGAAGCTGATGTGAGTAGCAAGCCCTTGCGATCATAAAGAATTTCTTTATTTGGAGTACGTACAATCAGACGTTAATTTCTCACAGTTAATTATTGTAAGCCATTAATGCAACAACTTTCCTCTTGCACTTCCCAATGAGGCTTGTGTCAGCCTGAAATAACAATTTTGATCGCGTTGGGTATTGCTGAAGGGAGAAAGGATGTACCTTTTCCACGACTTCTTTTGAATCAGGTTCCGACGAAGCTAAAACAAGTCCTTCCTTCTGTTTAATTTGGTCCTTTCCTCCTTCCTTTTCCTTTTTGTTACGCGCTTGATCGCTTGGTGTGTTCGAAGGTGTTCTTTTTTCTTCTGGTCCCTTACCTCCTGTCTTCGCTTTGTTCGAACCTGAGCTTTTCGGTGTCGAGCTATTTGACGTGCTGATCTGCAAAGCTTGTAGTGGAGCATTCAGTGCTGTGCAATACAGTGAGAATGGAGTATCACTTTGAAGTCTCTTAGAAATGTGAGGCAAGTGTCAAACTTTACGGCATTGCTAGGAAATCGTGCGAGTCGCTGCAATCGATCGCTGTTGGACATTTTCAAGTGCCCAAGTTCGCATTATACAGGGTGCGCCAAAATTACGGAGACAACGCATGAGCAAACAATTTGAACTGATATTCACAGATGCTGTTTTCTTCTGTCCTAGTTTTGGTACTGTGGTGTAGAATTGTTTATGCTTACCTTGTTCAACCACCAAAATCTATGGTAGCTGCAGCGGTTGACTGATACTGACACCGTCCCTAAATCATTGGACTTCGACGTTGAGGGTTTTTGGCACGCGACAATTATCATCGTTTTGGTGTATACCCGAGCACTATCAATAGATGCTCCAAGTGGTACAGGGGACAAGGAGCTGAATGCAGTCATTCTGGATGAGAAGGGCGTGTTTCTGTGGCGACCACGAACAATCTAAGGATTGTGTGCGATAGAATCTGCAGGTAGTTGACGCGCTGGTTTCACTGGATGTCACGAGAGATAGGAATCAGGGGGCTCTTTTGGATTTATCAGAGCCCATTGCTATCCTGAGTTTATTTTCACTTTGAAAATCGTTGCTGGGCCTTCCATCAAGTAGGAGCTCCCGTTTACGAGGCAAGGGTGGTTCAGTACTAGTGCAGCATTGATGCAGAACCGATTTTTTCGACTTTGTCGGCTTAAACGGTGGTAGAACAGCATTTCAGATCTGAGCTCGATAGGGTACGCTGTCGGATCCGTTCTAGAAGCTGAGGCTTGCATAAAACACATTATGTCTAGGGATTCGTTGAAGAAACCGCTCTAAAATGAGCTTGACGAGTCCTACTCGCCACATTGCGTGCCACAGTCGATGGTTCCTCGATGTTTCTGAGGACCCGTATAAACACAAACCAAGGAATTTCAAAAATTGCATGGATGTCGACGATTCAGAATGGGACTGTGCACGTCACTGCATTTTTGTTTTCAAAGAATTGCACCTTGCTCATCCTAGGCAACTCGAAGTCGCTGTCTCCGTAATTTTGGCGCACCCTGTATAAAGGCAGCAGTTCGCTGACAAAAGAGTCATCCTGTTGGCAAAATGATGGAGTGGAAGTCGAATGCCTGGCGCGTCCTAGGGACATAATATCATCGAAAGTAGTCGATCCTTCTGTATCGAAAGGTTTTCCGTAGAGAAGGTTTTACTTCGCTGACGTTCCAACTAAGTCGTCAACTTCAAAAAATCTAGTTCACAGAAGAACCGACTACTATTTAAAGGCAAAGGTCGGGCTCAGGCACGCTAGAGAAGTAATTCCCGTGCCTGGAGGTTGTATGTGGGTAGCTGCACACATTGCAGCAACTTCCCACCTTGAAAAACCCCGTTAAGGCCCCGGGGCGTTCGGTTTCAATCCAGGGCCGCCTGGTCAATCCAGGACCGCCCACCTCCGGAAGTGGTGCGTGGCTGGCATAACGTGTGAAATCAGCTAGGTTGATTGCCGTATCAACCGATAGAACGACTGACATCTCCAGAAAACTTGTTTGTACGTGCCTCTTTCCCCAAGCCAGCCTCCTTCACTGCTAGTGGGAAAGAGGGTTTTGTTAACGGCCTTGTCGACGGTTTTTCTCAGTTTTTTCTCCACTGTCGTTCCACTTCGCATCTCTATACTCAGTTTCAATCGCCATAATACCCCCTTATTGAGCCCGACTTTTGCCTTTAAAGAACGGCAAGGTTTTAAGAAAGGCGAATGTGAACGTCGTCGAATGCTTTATCCCCATCGTTTGGCTTCCTGGCTGTTTTTGAGGCGTGGGAAATTCGAATTTGAGCTCCACTAATGGGACCGTATTCTCTGCATCGATTTTGCAGTATCTTGACAGACTTAGGATATTGCTCATCTGCATTGCCTTTCTGATCTCAAGTCTGTCGTAGAAGTTAGTCGTGGATTTCCGAACCAAGCACTGCCCCTGTTAACACATTGACGACATTGAGACGCGGTAACGCGTCTCACTTTGCGCACCTCGTTGGACATTGAGACGCGTTACCGCGTCTCACCCTTGCTCCTATAGCTCTCCAAATCTGCTTTCTGGTGAATTATGAAAGCTACATCCATAACCAGATGAAAATGATTGGATTACTGAACGAAGAGCAGATGCAAATGCTCTGCGATGAAGAGGCATGGCCCAAAAGAGGATCACAAGATAGTAACACATCAATAAAAAAGGGTAGTGAAAGTAAATGCAAATCTAAAGAGACAGAAAAATACATGTTTCACTTGGTATAACCACATCAAAAGAGCTTTTGGCATCCACTACAGATAAAATGACTAAAATTTCCTTTTTCATTACCATTACATGTTCTTTAATCGGAACTTCGTCACTATATACTCTATTACCTTCTACGCATTGACTGTTACTGAGATGTTTTTGTACCACTGGTGCTTTAAAAAGTTATCAATAAAAATTCACGGATCCGAGGTGCGGCGGTCGCACTCGCAAAATCGGCCCGGTCCCACACGGCCAAAAAAGCCAAAACGCGCGCGGTCGTCAATGTGTTAAAGGATTGCCGGCCCACGCGTTCTGGGGATTCATACCGCACGTGGTTTGCAAGTCACTTGAACTTCCTTCTATGGTCCTATCACCAATGGCTGGAAAACAGACGATTAGAGAGCGGCGCTTGGCTTGGCTACAAATCCCAAGCGGAAATTGGGAGCCCTAATACTTAGCCTTAGAGGGGAGGAACTCTGAGGTGGGTGAGGCCAGTTTTCAGTGTAGCAAAACCTCGAAAGTATGAGATGAAAGCAGTCATGAGCCGCTCCTAAGGCGATAGAGCGCAGGCGGGAGCATTAGATTGAGGCGCTTTGAAGGACCGAGTTCAAGCAGTCCACTGACTATATCAGCTCAGCTTCATTCATTTTCTTCTACATTGTGCTCTTCCCGGAACCGAACCACATTTTTTCTCACATCAAACCTTTGGATGCCCGACCTTGCTCATCGTTGGATCAGCTTAGTTCAGACATTGACCTTTTTTTAGGTGAAGTTCCAATTTTGTTGTTAGCTAAGATCAATGACTTTATTGAGCGGGAGGATCAATTGAGGTAGATTATTGTAGGCATGAATTTTGTCTGAAGACGTGTCTAGGCTCAAAAACGCGTCAATTTAGCTGTCGCGGCAAAGCCAAATTGAACTGATATTTTTGTCGTGACTGTGCCTTGATACTAA